CTCTACAGATTGCCTGGCGCAAAGCGTGGACGAGTCTGGAAATGTCCCAATCGCGTTGGAGTCGAGTGAAAAGGGGCCCGTTCGGCCACGGTAGCAGCCCTTCAGGATCTATGTTTCTCGTCGGTCTCGCCTTGGGAGATCATCTCAACTTTGAGCTTGATGACCCAGAGCGAATTGTCGACTTTGAGCTCTATGGGGCTCTGGATCAGCAAGCGTGGATGACAGCTGCCAGACATTGCCATTGCTAGCGCCTTGAGCACGGCCCTGATTTGCATACCAATAAATGCCGCATGAGACAGCTTCGAAAGGAAGGCAAGCATGACAAGCTTGGAGTGTTTCGGATGGTTATGTCCGGAGCTTTGTGGCCAGCCAGTCGCTGGTTTGGGGATGAGGCTACGCGCCCTCCTCGGGCTGATCCCAATTCGCCCCCCGCCCCCAGCGCCCAAGCCCCACGGACGATGCGTGGGCCAGGGGGGGGGAGCAGGAGGGAGAGGAGGACGGCGTCCTCTCTTTTGAGCAGATATTAGAGCAGGCCCAGTGGGAGGACGAGCAGGCGTGGCCAGAGCCCCCAGAGGAGCCCTTAGAGCCCTTGGAGGAAGGTTCTGAGGTCGTCAGTCGCCCCCGCCGCCCCACATGGACCAGCCCCACTTGCCCGAGATGCGGAGTCGAACAGGAAACGCCCTACCACCAGTTCTGGGAGTGCCCAGGGGGCGCGGCCCTGGGGGTGCTGCACGGTGAGCTTGCTAGCCAAGCCAAGGAGGGGGTCAAGGATCACCCCTGTTTCTGGCTCCGTGGGCTTGTGCCTGTGCTGCGGGCGTGCCCGTTCGCGACGCGCCCGACCCGGGGGCGGCCGCGCGTGGGGGTGGGGGTGGGGGTGGGGGGGGGGGGGAAGCGCCCAGCAGGCTGTAGTGTTTTTTGGCCGCGCCACCATTGTTGCCGCCGACGGCTCTGGAGGTGAGCGCCAAGAAGATGTTCGGATTCGTCGGTGCGGGCGGGGCCTTTCCATTCTCAGAGGGTGGGAAGTTGTGGCTTGGGCGTGCGGGCCAGTAGACTATTGGAAGCAGTCAGTACCGATAGCCGAATTGCATGCAGCAGTTGAGGCACTTGAAAGAACAACTGGGCCCAGTGCATCTTGTTATCGACGCCCAGAATGCTGTGGGAGGGATCCGTCAGGGCCCCAGCGGACGGCATTTAAAGAACCAGAGGCTCTGGGGAACCTTTTGGGATTTGGCCCAGGGCCGTGAAGTTTCGGTTGGGAAGATCACTTCTCACCTGTCCCCTGAGCAGGCTGCGAGTGCCCAGGTTCCCCCAGCCAGTTGGCTAGCCAATCGCATTGCTGAGATGTGCGCTGATGAGGGAGCGAGAGTGGCGCAACTGCCTCAGCAGGATCTGGCAGACATTTTTAGAATTGACGATCTGGCGGCGAGAGTTCAGGCGCACCTGATGATTGTCGCTGATCATGTTGCGCGAGGCACCTGCTATTTATGGAGCCAGCGCCGAGACCGACAGGCAGCACGAGGCCAAACGGAGGGCCCAGGGGAGGCGGGGATCGTCCCAGGCTGCTGTCGAGTCGTCCTCTCGCGGAGTTCAACGTGATGCTCGAGGCAGGCTCTGTTGCGCCCGCTGCCTCTCTTCACCCTCTTCCGAATGCCCTCGATCCGCTTGGTTGAGCCAGCAGTGCAGGGGGTTCCCAGCCCAACTCCATAGGCCCCACCAGCTACTGCACTTCAGGGGCGTTTATTGGTGCAGGTATTGTGGAAAGGGGCGGGGCCAGTTTCTTTTCAGAAGGTGAGCCAGGCGTGCTTGACGAGATGCGCCTTGTCTACCCGCGGCAAGAAAATGATTGAAGCCCTCGAACGAGGGGAACTCCCCAAATATTACAAGCAGTGGCCCCAGCCAGAAAACGTTGGCCCCCACGTGCAGTAATCTTCCCAGAGCTATAGTTTAGCTCGACAGCGCCACCTGTCAGAGGAACTTGGCGCGCAGTTAGGCAAGAGGAGGAGGAGGGGGATGAGGAGGAGGAAAAGGAGGAGGAGGAGGAGGAGGAGGAGGAGGAGGAGGAGGAGGAGGAGGAGGAGGAGGAGGAGGAGGAGAGGAGGAGGAGGAGGAGGAGGAGGAGGAGGAGGAGGAGGAGGAGGAGGAAGAGGGGACGGCGAGAGGAGGCGGAGGAGGGGAGGAGGCGGAGGAGGCGGAGGAGGACGGAGGAGGGAGGAGGAGGAGGAGGAGGAGGAGGAGAGGGAGGGGAGCAGGAGGAGGGGGGAGGGGAGGGGAGGAGGAGGAGGAAACAAGGAGGAGGAGGAGGACGATGGGAGGAGGGATGATGATGATGATGATGATGATGATGCTGAATGATGATTGCTCATTTGATTTTCTGATGATGATGTGGAGATAGTTTATGGATGATGATGATATGATGATGATTTGATGATGATGAATCATGATGATGATGATGGATGATGATTGATGAGGAGGAGGAGGAGGAGGAGGAGGAGAGGATGAGGAGGAGGAGGAAGAGGAGAAGCAGCAGGTGTGGAGACGCGGAGGAGGAGTCGGATGAGGAGGGGAGGATGAGGAGGAGGAGGAAGAGGAGGAGGAGGAAGAGGAGGAGGAGGGAGGAGGCGGAGGAGGACGAGGAGGAGAGGAGGAGGAGGAGGAGGAGGGGGAGGGGGAGGGGGACCAAGCTAGGTGGCGCCGCGTCATATGGGAAGTTCCTACCCCCCACCCCATCCATACCATGGCGCTGATTTTCTCTAGACGCGGACGCGTGTCGTAGCGGACCTGAGGCCTCCGCGTGCGAGCGTGCGTATGTGGGTGTGGTGCACGGCGTCTTGCGGCGTGCGTGAGTGTGTGCGTGTGTGGTTGGTGGTGGTGGTAGTGGTGGTCGGTTGGTGGTGGTGGTGGTGGTGGTGGTGGTGGTGGTGGTGGTGGTGGTGGTGGTGGTGGTGGTGGTGGTGGTGGTGGTGGTGGTGGTGGTGGTGGTGGTGGTGGTGGTGGTGGTGGTGGTGGTGGTGGTGGTGGTGGTGGTGGTGGGGGTGGTGGTGGTGGGGGTGGTGGTGCGGCGCGGTGGTGGCGGGCGGATGGGCGCGCGAGAAAGAGGCCCGCGCTGGGGCGAGAACGCCATCCTGAACGACGGAGGCCAAACACCGATCCGAAAATGAGGCCCACGCTGCAGCGGGAGCACGATTCGGAACGATTCGGGAGCAGAAATGAGGCAGGCGCCTCAACGAGAGCAGCATTTTGGGAAAAAATGACGCCGGCGCCTCAGCGAGAGTCGTTTCCCGGGAGTTCCCGGGCATCCTGTGTGTAAAAAACAATACGCGGAGGGTGCGCGGCCATCACCCGGACGCCATCAGGGGAAG